CTGAAGTGCAACTGACGATTCACCACCATCAAGGTAATACAATCCACTAGCCTCATGCCCCCCACCAATCTTCTTCCCTTTCTTGAGATCCTGAAAAACACAAAAGAAAGGGAAAAATGTAATATGTAATAGAGCAATTAAGAGTCTTGGTTAATTTACTAATAGACATAAGATTGAATGGAAACTTAAGGACATGTAAAACAAATGATAAAGAAAGAGAAGTCGTGTAAACATTACCAATACCACAGATGGGAGAAAGAGGAATCGTTGGCAAGGGTAACAGTTTGAGATGTGGAAGTTTTAGAGAGGGAAGAAAACACACCTGGAGTCCCGGTCATGTGATCAGAGGCTCTAGAGTCAATAATCTAGGGAGAGGGTTTGGATGCTAGACAAGCTATACCTGAGTGGGCAAGGGTGGTTGTAGTATGCTGTGAAGTAGCCTGGAGGAACCTCTCTTACTCATCACGCGGTACACTCACCATCTCCTTCCCGGAAACAGATGTAGATGTGGAAGGTGTTAGATCTACATATTGGTTATCACTGACATCAACCCCACCAGCTACTACATGATTGGCCCATGTAGAAGGAGGGCCATGAAGATCATAACAGAAATTCACCGAATGTCCGTCCCTGCCACAATGGGTACATTTCCTTGTAGAGTTACTTTTTCCTTTACCAAGGCCTCCCCCTGAGTCACGACCACCACCACGGCCAAATACAGAACCACCACGACCTCCTCGAGAGGCATGCCCTCCCTCTCTAGTACCACGTCCACCTCCTCTAGCTATCACAAACGTTGATCTGTCAGACTGTGTAGGATTCTCTATAGGTTCCAAAGAAATCCTACGAGGCCGTGCAAAAACTTTCTTAACTGTAGGAAGAATAGAACCTCCTAATATTTGGGCCCTAACTGGTTCATATTCTGATTTCAACCCCACTAAGAACCTAGTGACATCTAGTTGTTCCCTTTATTGTTGCTGAACCTTAACATCTGGAGTGAGGGGATGATAGACATTGAATTAATTTATGAGGTTCTTCATACTAGCATAATACTCTTCTAGGGTTTTATTCCCTTGTTGCAAATCGAAATACTCCTAATCGAGCTGATATACCCTTGTAGTATTATCCTGCCCAGAATAAAGCTTCTTGGCATGTTCCTATATGTCCTTAGCTGTATCTAAGAACATAGAGTTGACACTTATTTTGGGTTCCATAATATTCCATAACCATGTCATGTTTGAACATCTTCCTGTTCCCAGTCATCAAATCCTGAAGAGTCAGCTGGTGGTTTATCTTCCTTCACATGCTTCACTTTCCTCTTTGCCTTGAGAAAAACTTCCACTGACTTGGCCCATGGTACATAGTTCTCACCATTAAGTTTAATTGAAGTCATCTGCACACCCATATAGTCAGAGGGAATCACCACACTAGGTTTTTGATCACTACAACCATCTCCAGTTGCTGCTATGATGCTCTTCCAATGCTACTTCTAGTATGAATTCCCAGTCGCCAACTAAGTACTGCTGTCAGGAGTTTGATGTTCCACACACTACAACAGTCCCCAAACACAGATGATAGGTTCACAACCAGTCACAATCAATCACTACTGTTCACAACCAGTCACAATCAATCAGTCCCCAAACACAGTTGATAGGTACACAAACTATTGTTTTTGTTCACACCACTACTGATTTCACAAAACCATGAATCACACTGACATTAATTCAGCAATTCACTGACCACATACAAACCCTCTTGAAACTGCTCAATAGAGATTGAGCATCACAAGCACCACCACACAACCATAACTGTCACACATGGTACATATCTGTCTGACCTTTTCAGAGGGCACTACAAGTCCAAAGAAAACATCAACTACTGCCACTGCAGTAACCTGCCATTCAATTCAGGTCACTTGTGACCAACAAAGGCTTCAAAATAACTACAAACCAACATAAAATGGTCAAACATACCCTTACACCATTTGGCCACTGTAAACACAACCTATTTTTGGACTTTTTTCCAAGAACCAAGGCTACAAACAACCTAATTCTCTAGTTCTGATCAGTCCCAGCAGATTTTGAAGGCTTTCAACCCAGAAAATACCAACAACACAAAAAAAAAGGTAATCAACCTTCGATGGAGAGCTCCAGTCGACTATCCACTTCTGAAGTTGTTTTTTTCTTGAAAAATAATCAAGTTCTGCGTAGAGGAAGAATGACTGAAGTGTTCTCAGACCTAGGTCAAATCTGTGTTCTCCATTTTTCAGCCCAGAAAGAAGAAAGAAAAAAACATGAGGCCATGAACAGAAAGGAGCAGGTGAGGAGATTTAGAGAGCAACGTCCTACTCTGATACCATGTTTGTCCTGTAGCTACATTAGTTCGAAGAAGAAGAAGAAGAAGAGAATAGTCGAACCTGATAGACTAAATCCTATCAGTTGACCGTTAATATGGACTAGCCTCTAATTAGTAGTACAAAGACTAAACTACCCCCACTTAAGTATGGGACAGGAAGTCTCTATTAAAACTGTCATATAAGCACATAACTTAATAGAAATAAAATGACTAATCTACCCTTATTCAGCTAGCTCTAACAAAATCATATACAAAAGGGTAAAATAGGTACTTTAAAAAAATAACATATCAGTCGGATGTTTTTTGTGCGGCTTAGTAACGGAAGGAAGGTTTGTGTATAATTTTCCAAAAATTTAGGGGAGATTTTTATGATTGTCAGAAACATCAAGGAGGATTTTGTATTTTACCCAAAAAGTAAAAAAACAAAAAACTCCTAAAAACAAAGACTTGAAATAAGCCCTAAGGCTCAGTTTGGAAGGAGTACAAATACAAAAATGTAAAGTGCAAAACCTTGTATTTTGTATGTATTTGTACTCTTTCGAGACTGTGCTTGAGGCTGCATTTGGTTGCAATGCAATTTTATTTGCATTACAAATATGTAAAGTGCAAAGCCTGTATTTTGTATGTATTTGTACTGTATATATTTGTATTTGTACTCTTTTCAAACTGTGCTTGAGGCTGTATTTGGTTGCAGTGCAATTTTATTTGCCTTAGTATAAATGCATAAGAGTGCAAATGAAGAAAATGTAAATTCTTGTTTAATTTTGTATTGGGTTTTACTTTATTATGCTTTACGTCTTAATTTACTTCATTTTTAATGCAATCAAACAAAATAAGTTAAAATTTGAAATAAAAATAAGGCAAAATTTACACTCAAATGTCAAATCATTTGCACTGCCACAGCTTCGCATCAATGCAACAACCAAACAGAGTCTGAATGTTTTTTTTTTTTTTTTTCAGTAAAAAAAACCCTAAAATTTCAATTTGAGGAGTAGGACGATGAAATCTGCAAGAGAGTCGAGATCAATCATAGAATGGTGGTGCATGATCCCATCAGGGGAAACTTAGAATTAATCCCTACTCTCAAGCACATGAGATGGTTGAAAGCTCCTTCAAACGACTGTGTATTACACAAGTTGGAGATTTTTATTAGGGTTATACCACTGGCACCCTGTGAGAATCATAAAGTGGGACCTGGGGTCATAAAGTGACTTGTATGCCAATACAAGGGGGGTTGTGTACTTGTGTTGTCAAAATTCATTCTCATGGCATAAAGTCTACCGTGTTTTCCAAATGCTACCATTTGACCTTTTATTATTGGGCTATAACAAATTTCCATCCTACCACCACTTTTCATTTTTCAACTGCTTTAGGGTAGGGATGAGAAAGGCTATAATATCTCAAATGGACTGTCAAGAGTCAATTGGAGCAGGAAGGGCCAAACAGTCATGGAAGCCAGAATGTAGAAGATAGAGGTAAAGCTCAAAATTCTTTTGAGAAGAAGATAAGAGGTAAATTATGGAAGCCAAAATGAGAAGAACGGAACAACCCTCCAAAAATTTCACAGAAAAAAGTGGTTCACTAAAACCCTGTTCAACTATAAAAAGAAGAGGCCAAATGTTTTGATAATGTTTGTTATTGGTGGGATAGACCACCATTCTGGTTAGAACAATACATATTTTGTTTGTTCTCTTAGTGTTTATATCTCTTTTTTATATATAAAAAACGATAAAAAGAAGAAAAATTAATATAAATAAAAAAAGAACCAACTTTGGGAGACACCTTTCTTGAGGAAAGAACATTTCCATGATTCTTTTCACAAACCAAATGAAGAATATGTAGTTAAATAATAGGCTCCATTCCAATTTCATGTGCATCATTGCAAAAGACTGGAAATCCATTTTCAAGGTCTACCAGTTGCCATTTTAGAATTTAGATACTACATCAAATTTTCTACTGGATGAAAACTTTTAGATAAAAAGATTAAAAGAAAAAAAACAATGTTATAAAAACAAAGTGAATGCATAATTTACCCACTTACCACCACAAAGAAAAAAGGACAAACTTGTGAATGAAGCTTTCATAATTCTGTTGACCATAAAAAAATAAAATAAAAATAAAGAATGAAGCTATGGCTCAGTGCCTCAGTTTGGAAGGAGTACAAATATAAATATGTAGAGTGCAAAATCTTGTATTTTGTATTATTTTGTATGTATTTGCACTCTACATATTTGCATTTGTACTCCTTCCAAACTGAGCTTAATGTATATGAAGGCCAGCAAAAAAAAATGTATATGAAAGGCCTAAAACCAATAATCTTGAAATAGGAGAAAAATAACCCATCCAGCAAAAACCCCAGACTTTTGGAGATAGAGATCTCACAAGTAATTCTAATTCCACAAAACAAATTGAAATTAAAAATTCGGTCAACTCCACCCACAACCGCAACTAAACCATACCAAATCAACTAGACCATCATCATCATTATCTATATGGGGTCAACTAGATATAACTTGCAAAGAAAACAATGAAACCTATAAAAGAACAAGTTTATCCCACTCATCCAAATTGGCAGCGGAACTAATACCTTTCAGTCTTATAGAGCTGGACAAGCAGGAAAAACTCCTTTCACAACACAACAATGATGCTGTTAAAGATTTAAAACATTAAATCATATATAAATATGGTGCATACAATAAACAGTTAAAACTAAGAAAATGATGGTATATAATAATGATAAGCAATGGAAGATGGAATATCCGCTTCTACAACAACTGAAATGGTGAACAGAAAGGAGGTAGGAAAACGCAGCTGCTTGAAAGGAGAAATGGGCAATATCACACAGGCATATTATCTGTCAACCAAACCTTCACTGCTTCACCACCCATTAATGTGGAAACTGTGTCAATGAACGGAGAAAACCCTGCAACTGATACCCATCACCATCAAATTTCTGACACCTTTCTTTCCATCTTCAAGTTCCTCATTTCTGAAGCACCATGCAGGAGCTTGTCCATCTACATCTAATTGATTTCTTCTAAAAGAATACTGAAGTTCAAATCTTAAACTTAGAATTCCCACAACTCTAACCACCTTAATGCTCAAATGGTGCGGTAAACAAATTATATACACATTAGATTCTCTAAATCGATTGTTTGTATGAATGGTTCAAACTACTTTCATGAATTACACACAAAGTGATCCTCAGAATGATTCTTATAGGAACTTTTCGTTCTCCAGATTTTCAAATAAAGAATTTCATGGGTTGAAGTCTCAAACACCTTAAGCCTTCACTTCAATTTGATTTGGTCCATGTTCTTGGAGCAACAACCCAAGCCCTTCCTTCCGATCCTCCTTAAGCTGAGATTCATACCTTTTCTGATACAATGGATTCGAAGTCAAGACCCGTAATCCAGAATTCCCACTTATCTCCAAAACTTCAGGCAGCCCATCAATACATCCCTTTGACATGCCTACATCAATCCGTATGGCTCGGTTCTCACAAACAGCATTAATCCCTGATCCTTGAATCGTATGACCCATAATCATTCGCTTTGCACCAGGGATTGTCGCAAGCACGTGTTCAAGAGTTGAACAGTCACAATTCTTAGCCAATTCGTCTGAGAATCTCCTTAACCAAACAACAGAATCCCTCCCTCGCATGAAACTCGGCGAGAATCTCCCTCTCAAGCCATTAATCCAATCCCTAACCTCTTCATTTATGCGTTCCAATCCGTAATAAACATGGTTTTGGAGGAGCCCGCCATGAACAAAGACCGATTCACCGACAACGAGTACAGTAACATTACCGGACAAAAACCTACTAGAAATCGGACCCTGGGGACGCAATGCAGCAATTCTAGCCCTGAAACCATCGTGAAATTCTTTCTTGATTCCACGAAACACCAGCGGAATCCCCTCGAAGATATCCTTCGGCTTCTCCAATCCATCGCATAGACTCTTCATCGAATTCCCAATACGAAACCAGTCGGCCCAAACCTTAAACTCATCAAGACCGGACTGAGTTACGTACCTGAAATCACCCTCAATGTTCATGATCTCGTGATTCCCATTCATAATGATAATCGACCCGCCGCATTTCGACGCCTCGCGCTTCAACTTCTCCAGGAAGTAGAGGATCTTGAGCTCATCATTGCCGCGGTCTAGGACGTCGCCAACTTGGACGATGGTGGCGTTGCCGCCGATCCATCGGTCGGAGGCGTCGATAAGGCCGGCGAGTCTAAAGGCTTGCTTGGATTTATGGAGGTCACCGTGCAGGTCACCGATGGCGACGAGGCGATCAGGAGAGGGGTATCTGGTCTGAAGCGGATGAAGGGAAGTAGAAGTTCCATCAGGGCTTTCATGGGGAGAAATAGGGTTAGGGTTTTGAGGTTGGGGTAAGAAGAGGCCACTGACAGAGAAGTCGACAAACGTGTCAATGAAGGAGGAGACGAGGAGAGGGAGGTCTCTGCATGTTGAGTCTTCTTCCATCTCTCTCTCTCTCTGAAAGGGAAGGGAGAGGATTCGTTCCAGCCGTCCCGGGAAGTAAAAAAGGGTCATTGATTTGCCTGGAACCCCTATAGTTCCACATATTTTCTAATAACTACTTTTTCGTTTACATATTACTAAACCACCCCATAATTTGTAACTGCTTTACTTTAATCGACCTTATAGAGGAATCGTTCGTAGTTTTTTTACCGCCTATAGACTATAGTTCCACATACATCATTTTTTTTACCGCTTTTACTGTCATCTCACCAATTCAAGGTGGGCCCATATCAATATATCAAGGGTTGTGATTCACCGCTTCAACCCAAAACTATTCGAAAGATGTAATATGTATTTCTCCCAAATTATAGACTAGGTTTTAATATTTTCTATAAATTGTTGAAATTTCATCAGTTATTATTGGCAATAGCACGGCCTTTCCTGAACTTTCTGATTTCTGACATTGTTGTTAACCTTAGGAAGACTAGAAAAGAGGCTCTGAAAGAGGTGTGCCTCCTCCCTATTGAWAGTAGGACTCTTACTTTGAGTATCTACAATTCTACACCCTTCCACTAACTCAAGTACTCAACGTTGTGTCATGTGTGTTAATAATCAAAATCGTTGATGTTATCATTTCAATATTTTTAATGTCAACATTGCCCTTAGAAGAAAACATATGATTTTATACTCACCAAAACACCCTGGAAAGAGTCATCTATATCCCATCCATACGTTCGGATCTCCTGCCCATGTTTATCTCAGTCATACATGAAGAATATCTCATCCTGTGCATAGTGTTATGTAGAAGAAGACAGGAGTAGTGTGTTGTGGGTAGGCGTGGGAGATTCGATGTTTCTAAATCCACCCATTATGATCTATATATCCACCACACTCGATTATTTTTTTCTCAAAACACAAAAAATGATAAAAATTTTAAAAACTACACTAATAGAAAAAGAAAACAAATTTTCAACAAAAATGATAATGTGTTTTTCTCAAAAATATATTTAAATAAAAATCAGAATTGTAGAAAAGAAACATAAAATGGTAAAATCTTCAAAAAAAAAAAACATACATTTCAAGTAAAAAAAGAAAAATTAAAAGAAACAAAGAAAATGATTAAAATTTAAAAATATATATTTCAATAAAAAAGTAGAAAATGTAAAAAATAAATAAAATTCATAAAAATCAATATATATATATAATTTAACAAACTATATAGAAATTGAATAAAAAACACATATTTTATGAATTTTATTGCCAATGTAATAGGGAAGGGCAAATTTAGAAACCAATTTACTGTTCAAATGGTTAAAAATGGGTATTTTGGTAAATTTGCCCGCTTTCATCGGCTCAAGATAAATTAAGGTACTGAACCGAAACTGTCAGAAATTACATAAAGTAAGCTCAGGAGAAAAATATTTACCCTAATATTTTTGACATTGTTCAGTGTTCACAGCAGATGGCGGAAGTGTCCATTTGAACCCAAAACCTCCTTCTGTTCTGCACTTCTGCGTTCAGTTTGTCTCCCGACAGAGAGAGATGAATCACGTAGCAGCAGCTGAGGAGCGAATAGTTTCAGAGAGATTGAAGCGCAAACTCAACGAAGTGAATGCGGCAGCTCAAGCTCAACTGTCTGGAATACAGGACCATGTTAATTTCACCCTTCAGGTTCTTTTCTCTTCCTCTCATCGTTTTCCCCTTGTTATTTGATGGACTTGTTTTTCTTTTTTGTATTTTTAATTCAACAAATTGTCTGAATGGCGATTTCAGAAAGCGTATTTCAAATGTGCATATGAATGCTTCGAGAGGAGACGAACACAAGAAGAGATAAACCACTGCGTGGAAAATTGTAGCGTTCCAGTTCTTAATGCCCAAAACATGGTTGAGAATGAGATGGCCAAGTTTCAAGTTAGTTTCCTTTTTCTTCCTCCTGGGGATATATAACCAGTTCACTTCTTTTTTATTAGGATATTTTCGTTGGGAGTTGAGACGTGCTAAATATATTAACTTGCCCTTTGTTGCTATGATTGCAGATTATCGTCTTCTTCTCTGCATTTAGTCATGGTCACTTGCTTTATTTGATATCTATTTCTTTAAGATTGTTGATTATGGATTAGCGTACTGTTGTAATGATCAATTACTGAAACAAGAATGTTGAGTAATTGATGTTTCATACTGAAGTCGAGAAAGATTAGAATCGCAGAACGGGGTTAATGTAGCCAACCCCAAATATCAGGATAAGGCTCAGATGAACTTAGCCATTAGAGATGCAAGAAAAGCTGTATCTTTTTTATTTTTATTTTTATTTTTAATTTTACACTTTTATTCGCATTTAGGGTTTGATCTTATTGTTCAAACAAAACCGTTATAAAAACTAGACTAGCAATGACCCACTTCAGCCATTTAGAGAAATGCAAGAATTGTTAACTTCAAGGAAAAAAAGGAGAAGTGATAAATATACAGAATGGTATATCATTTGATGTTGACCTTAGAATTTCCTGAACGCAGTACTCTTTGTTTTGTGTTAATATGTTTTTGAGAGGGGGGAGGGGGCACTTTTTTTCTAGCACAGGCATATGTGTACATGTTATTGGATTTATATAATCACTTCAAGAAGTTATCTTCCCCAAGTGTCCTCTCTCTCTTGTATAAGTATCTCTCTTATATAAGTAAGCAAAGCCTTGGTTGCATGTTGGTATGATTTTACTTATTTGTGATTGTCAAGTTTCCTAGATGGTAGATTACGCAAGGAAGCAGACACCGCAATATGCATTTATACATATAGGCATGTACATAGAAACTCAAGGATATATTGTATATGTAGTTCTTGTCTTTCAACCAGAATTATAGGCGTAAGGGCTTCCCTAAACTGCAGTTTTTTAGTGGAAAATGCTCATTAGAGTGTAATCATAAATTTTTACCATGATGCTCCAGAGTTTTAGGTTTCAGTTTTGTTATTGTCTTAGATGCCTAGTAAAGTTATGTCATCAGGACTTGGTCTTCCTTATATAGCAGTTTGGACTTTGGGTTGGGAGATACATCCTTTTCCATCTCTCTCCCCTCATGCCATACACACTGAGTTTCTCATCCCACTTTCTCTCTCAGTCTTGCTCCATGTCCACAATAAGACTTTTCTTCTAGGGAAGTTTATATAAAAGAAATTAGGACTTCAAACAACTGATATTTGTTTGAAAGTCATTGACACAAGGTAATGTATTAAGAAATTTAGTTTTTTTACTTGAATTTCATGGAATTCAAATATTTAATAAATTTTATTTGTTTTGTATAAAACTATAAAGTAGCTTTTTCCTTTTGTACTTTTCTTGGAATCTGTGGACATGGGAATGATTCTTACTTGATATTAGAACAAGAATAAAATAAATAAGGATGCTAAAAACCCTAGCAAGAATCCAGATCCAGTCCAGGCTGAAGTAGGAGAGAAGACGTTGAAGAATGAGTGCTCAAAGCAAGTTGAGATTGAACAGAAATAAATCTCAAAGTGCCGCCCCACTTTTCTTTAATTATAATAGAACTGAAATTACATTATTACACCTGAAACAGAAAAGCAAATAAATAACAAAGAAAAATAAATGGAAAAAGACACACATGCCCATGCACAAGTTGGGCTAGGCTGGGCTATCACTTGTGCCTGCCCACCTGCCCGTGCTGCACTATGTCGCGTTGTGCTATACTATGTGGGCGGGCAGGCGGTTATGAGTTGCAAGATTCTTGGCTTTTTTTTGGTGGGTGGTGGTGAAGTAGTAACCACATAACCCATTGGATTCTATTTAGGTTTCTTCCTTGGATGACTCCATGGATGAATGAAAGCTTAAAACACCACTCCAACTCTGTGAGAGGTGCAATTCATTGACCTAGATTGTTGAATCCTGGAGTTTGGTCGACAAACCCAAGCACTGTGGATATTATCCAAGAGAAGGTGAAATTAGATTCTAGGACAGTGTTGTTACAATGTTCCACGCTCTCAAACTGATAAGTTCTCTTACTCTCCTGATTGTAGATTCTCCAGATTAGTACAGTTGCTTTGGTTTTTCTAGTTCTGGGTGTGTTTCTCTCTGTTTCAGGTCTATTTTGCATTGTCTCTGGTCTGTTTCATACCTTTTGAACCTGTTTCACACCTCTACATTGGCTTAGCAGTGTTAATTTTGTGGTTTCTTGGACGTTTCACAACTGCTTTTTGTTAGATTTATTGTTTAAATCATGGTTTTTCCTTTATATCTCCAAAAGGTATAAATGTATAGGATTAATGTAGATTGAGGGATTAAACATCTGGTCAACCTAGAAGGTTTTTTACATGCTGAATGCTTTTGATGTGCAAAATCAACATGTGCCCATGATAGGGTAGGCCAAATCAACATTTTTGGCCTGTTGCTGAGGCAATCTGGAGTTTTCTTTTAATGAATCATTATTTATCAAAAAAAAAAGGCTCCCTACTTAACCTGATTAGGAAACTATTTTTCCTACGAAACATAGGAGCTTCTCACATTTGGCAACTGTATGCTCCTGCTCCATTGTCTTTTTCCCCCCTTTGAGTTTTCTTGGTGATCCTCTAGACTAATGTGTAGAATGTTCTTTTACATGTTAACTCATACCCTCTGTCCATGTGTTGCACTTCTATATACCTTTCCTTAGTGAATAATATAGCCTGTCATTTTATATATTTTTCCTTTATCCCTCTCGATTTCATTAATGGCAGCATTTACCTCCCACAAATCAAATTTCCAATTCCTCAGCTTGGTTAGCACTTGGCACATAGCAGATAATGTGGCAAGTTCCAGTATGTCCAGTTTGGGTCTATCAGCTCATCTTTCCTTATGGAGATCAAAACAGAATTTAAAAATGGTATATTTTAATCCGCTTTCTTCCTACACCATGTGACAGTCCACCATTAGCCTTTTTAAGGAATTCTTTCATCACCTTGCATCCATGATATGATGGAAGAGTTTGGTATTTCTGTCCACCCTCTTTAAGCCATGTAATCCAAGCCTGTTGCTTCCATTTAATCTCTTCTTGGTAGGCAAATTTATCGTTTGGTAGACAAGCCTATCACATATGATACATTATTAGGAGTAAATTACCTCCTTTTAGGATATAAAAACAATTTCTATGGTGACAAATTTCTACTGAACTAAACACCGAGTCCCCAATAACTAGAATTATCTAAACATTTAATAATACTTAGGTTATGTTTGGTGATTAAGTGGTTAAAATAAGCACTTGTTGCACAAGTGCTTATAGTAAGTGCTTATTTTAACAACCACTTAAGGCTGTTTGGTGACCCACTTGCCAAATCACTTATTGTGCTTTTTAAGCATTTATTGGGGTGGGGATGTTTGGTGAGCTACTTTCCCCACAAGTGCTTATGTTGACATAAATGACACTTTTAGCCCTCACTTCACTCATACATATAAATAATGCTTTTCACATAATTATATTATACATTTCAATGAACGCTTGCCACATCACCACATCATGACACATGAGAGCCCACATGGGCCCACACGTAGATAATAATAATAATAATAATAATAATAATTCTAGAAAGCACTTTCAATAATAATAATAATAATATTATTATATAATAACAAATAATAAATACTTCTAGAAAGCACTTTCAATGATTAATTTTCACAAAATACTTCCAAAAAGTGCTTTTAAGGAGTAGTTTTCACAAAATACTTTCTGATAGCACTTTCAAGGTGCAATTTTCACAAAATACTTCCAGAAAGTGCTTCTAAGGAGCAGTTTTCACAAAATACTTCAAAAAAATGCTTTTAAGGAGTAGTTTTCACAAAATACTTCTAGAAAGCACTTTCAAGATATAGTTTTCACAAAATACTTCTAGGAGAGATTGTGTGTACACCACTCCAGTGCAGTCCATGGTGTGTTTGGGTTCTTTGTGAACCCAAGTATCATAGTAAAACTCACTCACCTCAGAGTCAACCTCCATAATGCACTCCAACTCCTCATCGGTGTCCATCACCCCATTGTAAGGTAAGCTACTATTGGAATCTGACTCGGTATCCGATACTACCTCAGTCTCCGTTTTGGTTTCCTTATCGGTAGCCATCTCTTACACTATCACGCAATTTAATAAAGAGAAACAAAATTTATAATCATAGAATGGAAGACATAAATGCAAAAAAAAAAAAAAAACCAACTAGCTATTTGGGGTAATCCTAGGTCAGAAGATTTTTGGAAGCCAGTCATTGAAAGATTTGCTAGGAAGCTAGCTCTTTGGAGGAGGAATTACATCTCTCTTGGTGGAAGGATAACACTGATCAGAGCCACGTTGGTAAACCTCCCTATTTACTTCCTCTCAACCTTTAGAATACCCTATAGAGTGGCAAGGAGGTTAGAAAAATACATGAGAGATTTCCTTTGGGATCTAGGAGAGGAGAGGAAGGATCACCTGATAAATTGGGATCAAGTTAGAAAGTCCAAGAGTAAAGGGGGTTTGGGAATATGAAATATTTCACTTAGGAACTCAGCTCTACTAGGAAAATGGTTGTGGAGGTTCCCTTTTGAGAGAGATAGACTGTGGCACAAAGTCATTGTGAGTATCCATGGTTTGGATGGGAATGGTTGGGATGCAAAAGTCGCCCCTCATGTATCCTCTTGTTCTCCTCGGAAAGCTATCCATGAAATTTACCCATCTTTCCTTAATTCCATTCGGTTTGATGTGGGCTAGGGCAATAAAGTTTGTTTCTGAGAAGATCTTTGGGTGGGAGATAGTCCACTCAAAGACCTTTTTCCTGACCTATACTCTTTGTCAAACTTAAAAGGGAAAACAATAAGTCTTTTGGGTAATCCTGGCCCAAGTGGGATCAATTGGAATCTGGGTTTTAGAAGGGGCCTGAAGGAAAATGAATGTGCATCTTTAATTCACT